CAGAAGGAGGAATTCACTCCATTAAGCAAATATGCAGCAGCTCCATACCTTGTTGGAGTTAGGAATTCAATCTTTAACAACGGAAGCAAATTTGAAAGAGGCTGCTCTTCTCATTCGAACCTATACTCATTTTGCATTTGTCAGCGAAGGTGGAACCCTCCTATTTCTGAGGTAAAGTTTCCCTAAAATCTTAAATGCGAGGGGTTTTTAATTGTCTGAGAGAGCCCAACACTAGAGGGCGATGTGAAATACAACATTTTAACTAGTTTTTATAATATATACCGTCGATTTTTTTGGTGGGTAAACAAAATAAGCATTTCTTGTGTTCATAACCATCCATTTTCTTCTTAAAAAAAATTTTTTTTTCAGTAACTGAAATTTTATCTACCCTGCTCCTCTCTCCCACTTTTGCATTTTAGCAATGAAGGAAAAGATTAAGGAACCGTTCATTTCTTTAGCTGGCTTTTATTGAGTACCTACTATATGCAATTTACCATATTAAGGGTTTGGAGGGAGTTGGGACAGGAATAGATAAAGACTTGTTGAAAAAATATGTATTGGTTGACTCCTGCATACTGAGCACTCTGATAGGTACTATTGGGACTATTAAGATTAATCAGGTAGTTCCTGTCCTCAAGGAACTTACACTCCATTGGAGAAAAAGGATTTCATTCTTTTCTTCTGTCCTTAAAGGCTGCCTTAATTACCATGAATTTGTCCTCCTCCAACCATCTTTAGAGATGTAGTTCAGAAAACCTGCCTCCTTTCCCACCTCTCTCAAGTAGAACGGGCCATGCCCTCTTACAAGGCTCTAACCTACTTTGTAAAGACATATGACATCTATGAAGAGCATGGCAAATGGATGTCCTTTAAATATATGATGGTGGTAATAGCTAAAGCAAAAATCCTGGAAATAGAAATGTGCTCGATATGTTCAGGTTAAGCTGAGATTGAGATACCCAGGTTGTGTGAGGCAGAATTATGGGAAATTTGCCAGGAAAGAAGGTTTGGATCAGATTGTGAACAGACTTGAATTTCAGGCTACAAAAAAAAAAAATCTTGGTTTTGTTCTGTAGCAGTGAAAAATAACAGGGTAAAAGTGTTTGGGGATAGCATATGGGACGGATTAGAAAGAAGAAAAATGGCGGGAGGGAGACTGATGAAACCGCTAATGAGAACTCAGACAGTTGGAATTAAACTTTGAGAATGTAGAGATGATTTAGGGTCAGAACCAATAGGACTTGGAAACTGACAAATTTACTCCCAGCACCTATTTATTCCACACCTACGAAAGTGTGGTATTTTTTGATGCCAAAAGGGTTGCATAAATTCATCTTTTTCATTATAGCAACAATTCAAAGTTCAGAAGGCGAGTGCCCTGCTATGCTTGTATTCATTCATTTATTCAATACCAGCTCATCGAATAGCTAGTCTGTCAGACTCTGAGCTGTGTTCCAAGCATTCAGGGATCAGACAGGGTCCCTGCCTTCAAGAAGCTCACAGTTTAGTGAGAGAAGCAAAATTATGTACAGATATGAGAACACAAAAGGATGGTAGGGTTAAGAGATGCCTGCAGAGAGGAGGTGATCTTTCTGAATTTCTATGTGCAGAAGACACATGTGTGCCTGGGGAAGGGGTTTTGAGATGTGGGTAGGGGTATGTTGGGGGGAGCATTGGGAATGAGGTTGTGGGGATGGTGTCTTAGCCTAAGAGATGCACATGTGTAGTGACACCGGATTGTGAAAAGGTATAAAGAAATAATTATAATATAAATGACACTGACCCCAAAGAGCTTTCCATTCTCTAGTAATGGCTCCTGTTTAGATACTGTTCGGTTTTTATATCCATTGCTATTCCATTATGTTGGACAGTCTTCCTATACGGGGGCGGGGCGTGAGAAGAGAAAAGGGAGGCTGTCATAACTCAATGCCAGTTATATTTGAGAATCAATTTCTTACATGATTTTAAAAAAAAAAAACACAAATTCAACTGAGAATTAACACTTTAAATTCTGCCCAATGAAATAGTTACATTCAGACGGTGGAAAAACGAAAGAATGTCAATCTATATAAAATCCCATTTTGATAAATGTGACATGGTAAGTTCAAAGCCACTCCTATAAATGTCAAGCTTAATACAGGGGCACCTCTGCCTGCAAATAATCTCTAGGAGTGAGGAAAATGCTACGAATAAAAAAAAAAAATTGAAGGCTTTAAGTTCTTGATAATTTTTTAGTTCCTCTGTCGGTTGCATAGGAAGGTATGTAGAAAAGCATTAGTTCTCCACAAGCATCTAAGGCAGGGTTACTATTTCTTTCTTTTTTTTTCTTTCTTTCTTCTTTTTTTTAATGTTAAGCACGTTCCTTTGCAGGGTTTAGAAATCTCTCAAGTCCAAAATTGAACAAAAAAAGGCCTCCCCTTGTGCTTTTTTTGTCAGGCAGATGAAGCTGTATAGAAATGTAAATGCAATATAAGAGATGGTAGTGGGAAGCTTGCCTCTCGCCCTTCCCTTCTCTTCTCCAGGGCTCCCTTGTAAAAATATTCTGTGATTTTGCTGTGTGTGTGCATCTCTTGTGTAAGGGCATTTAATTAGCTACAAGTTACAACAAAGACTTTTGAAAGGAAAATATATCTGTGGTGCAGATGCCTTTATTTTCATTCGGTGAACAGCTAGGTTTTTTTAACTTCCTTATCAAGAGCTGCATGAACTGCCCAGACTAAATTGGGAACATCTCCACACTGTTTGACAAATAGATTTTTTGTAAACTGATTTAGCCTTTTCATTGTTTGCATTTCATTATATAGCAGACTTCATGTCACAAAATCGGTATTCATTCAAAATAGAGAATTTAGAGATAGGACTGTAGCCAGATAAAAAAAATATTGCACAGGTCAGGGCTATTAAGCATAGAATAATAGCAAGTCAGTGATCAAAGGGGTTGTTCTTGAGCTGCGAAGGGGCTAACATAGCCGAGGTCAGGAGTCAGACTCAGGACTTAAGACGTGTCTGAGGCTACATTTACAAGACAATCTGCAGGGGAGGGAGTGAAGAATGGAGTCTGGCAGGATACACTGTAGAAAAGAGACAGGTTTGTCCTCTGCTTCTTCAACCTCATTCTCTTGAGAGGCCGGAGGTGGGAATTTTTAAACAATTGAGATTTGAGTGTTTTGGTCTGTTCTGAAATACTTGCTCATCAGAGTTTGGGGTTCTGTAGCACATATCGAAGGGCAATATTCAGAAATTGACTTTGAAAGGAGGTCGAATGGTGAGATCGCTTTGCATCTTTCTTCTAAATCTTTTAGTTTAGAGCGGTGGGTCTCAAACTTGAACGTGCAGCAGAATCACCTGGGGGACTCTTAATCGCTGGACCCCACCCCAGAGTTGCTTCAGGTGGAGCTTGAGAATTTACATTAACAGTGTATAGGTGAGGCTGACGCCTCCCTTTGAGAACCACTGGTGTAGCCTCTATATACCAGTCACCTGAGAATAAAAGTATTAACATTTTCGAAGTGCCTATCCATTAAACCCACTGAGCAGTGACCATTGGCAGCTCTTCCATGTTGATGTCAAGTAGAAAGTCCGAAGGATCATGGAAGACGGTGTACGTATGGGAATCATCTTTGTTGTGTTTTATTTAAAAATAGAGCTGTGATCATACGACATCGTATTCTGCTTAATTCCCACAGTCAGGCAGCTTTTTAGTTCACTTTAGTGACTCTTTGGAGATACCTTTTATGCCCTTATCCCTCGGTACCGGGATTATTTATAAAGATGAATGGGGTGTAGTTCTACTCTCAAGAGGGTTACAATCACAGGAGAATCAGACAAGACAGAGAGACATCACCAACATTTGGTTAGTGGAGTTGATAGAGGGGTGCTGAGGTTTCTGTTCTACAGGAAGCCTCCCCTGATATCCCTCCCCCATGCTCCACCCCAGGGTGAACTAAGCATTAAGGGTAGGTAGGATTTTGCTAAGCAGAAGGGACAGGGAAAAAGCAGAGGGAAGTGAAATATTGGCATGTGTTCAGGAATCTGCCAGCACTTTGAGAATTCTAAATTTTTTTTTTTGCTTATAAGTGAGTCTTTTTTTTTTTTTAACTTTTCTCAGCTCTGGCATTTATTTTATCGTGTCTCCATTTAGTGCTTTCCCCCCATTCAATCTATTTTTTTTCCCACTAAATTCTATTTGACTATTATTTTCTTTTAACACTGGTACCAATTGAAGACTATTATTTTCTGTTAGATAAATAATCCACATTCATTGTAAAATTATTCAAACTATGCATAAGAATACGAGGAAGCAAATGAAAAGTAACTAAATTTTATTGCCTTGTGCTATTTTTTTGTTTAAACATTTCACATGTTTTTACTCTGAAGTACGGTGTTTAGAATAGACTTTTAAATTATCCTCAGCACCTCATTAATAACCATCTTATGGGCCCGGCGTGGTGGCTCACACCTGTAATCCTAGCATTCTGGGAGGCTGAGGCAGGAGGATGGCTCGAGGTCAGGAGTTCTAAACCAGCTTGAGCAAGAGCGAGATCCCGTCTCTACTAAAAATAGAAAGAAATTAATTGGCCAGCTAAAAATATATAGAAAAAATTATCTGGGCATGGTGGTGCGTGCCTGTAGTCCCAGCCACTTGGGAGGCTGAGGCAGGAGGATCGCTTGAGCCCAGGAGTTTGAGGTTGCTGTGAGCTAGGCTGACGCCATGGCACTCTAGCCTGGGCAAAAGAGTGAGACTCTTATCTCAAAAAAATAATAATAAAAATAAAATAAAAAAACATCTTATGGTCCACTTTTTTCTCCTAAGATGCGTGGCAGTATTGCACTGATTTTAGTTAAGTTTCATAAACTGTTGGATCCATGGAGTTTTGATCCCTCACCTTACATCATCACAAAAGCTGAGGACCACAAATGGTTTTCTGTTTACTTTAAGCCACTTTCTCAGGGGTTAATTTCACCTTTTTCCTTTTTTTTTTTTTTAATGTTGGCTGCAGTTGGAATCCCCAGTGGACCTTATCCCCAAAATACCCTTGTGTGGACCCCACCCTCAGAGATTGACTGGTGAGTTTGGGTGAGACCCAGGCAGCTGGACGTTTTCTAAAAGTCCCCAGATGATTCCGATGTGGAACCAGATTCTCTCATCCTTTGATGACTGTTAAGGCTTTGGGAATATTAGCATGGCTTCAGCCAAAAGGAAAAAAGAAAAAGAAAAAAATGCTATACTTCATCTGCAGGAGCAATGAAGGTCTAGAAGTCATATGCATTTAGTGACTTGATGTCTAACGTATTTCTGCAGGTTAGAAGTAGTCTTTATGGGCTGTTTAAAGGAAAGATTATTCCTTACATTTGCATATTTTACAGTAGGCTTGGATTAGCATAATCTCACTTGTTTTCACGACAACTTTATGAAGTAAGCAGATAAGTGTTTTTTGTTTGTTTGTTTTGTTTTGTTTTATCGGCTTGTCCTTCTTGCTAATTGTTGTTCTGAACAGATGATACAAACCAAGGCAAAAGAATCCAGGTACTTGCCCAAGGTCATGCAGTCAACAGTCTGCAGAGCCAGGATTAAAAAGAAGCCATCTAATATCCAAGTTTATGCTTTCACTTATACTTCCTTTATATGGTTCAGTAATGGTAAAATAATGATTCCAGTCCCTGTGCTAAGCGATTTACCTGTGGTTCTCAGGCTCAACTTTGGCAGCATATGGAATTCACCTGGGGAGCCTTGAAAAGTCCTGATGCCAAAGATTATTAATGAATTGGCCAGGGGGAGGCCTGGGGATTGGAATTTTTCAAAAGTTGAAACCACCGATGTCATTTAATCTTCTTAGCAATAATATGAGGTTGGAGTCATCACCATTTTAAAACTGAGGAGACTGAGACGTCGAAAAGTTTAATCCACAAGCCCACCAGTCTAGCAGCTAAAGAATGGCAGCAGCCAGACTCAGACCAGATTGAATAAACTGCAGCTTTTCTGGTCACCATAGCTGTGTCTCACAATTTTGAGGCTTTTGCTTCAAATTTTGAAGCAGGTACAGCTGAGTGAACCGAGGTGCCTGTGTATATACTAACTAAAGAAAGAACCAAATTTAGAGTTTTCTAAATTTAAAGAATGACATTCTGGTGTATGTATTAGCCATAAGTAGCTAGCATCAGTTTGTTTGTGTTTCCAAGACAGAGTCTTGCTCTGTTGCCCGGGTTAGAGTGCCGTGGCATCAGCCTAGCTCACAGCAACCTCAAACTCCTGGGTTCAAGCCATCTTCCTGCCTCAGCCTCCCGAGGAGTAGCTGGGACTATAGGCAACCACCACCATGCCTGGCTAATTTTTTCTATTTTTAGTAGAGACGGGGTCTTGGTCTTACTCAGGCTGGTATCAAACTCTGACCTCAAGCAATCCTCCTGCTTTGGCCTCCTGGAGTGCTAGGACTATAGGCATGAGCCACTGCACCTGGCCTGTTTGGTTTTTCTTGTTGTAGGGTTTTATTCATAAGACTCAGTGTGTCGAAACATGAAGTTTAAAAAGCTCAGGGAGCAAAATAACAAAGCAAATTCTGAGCCATTTGTTTTTAATAGAGGCTCTGTTCTGGATGAAACTGTAGACTTTTAGAGCAAAAAAGATCTACAGAGACCCTCTAGTCCAGTATTCTCACCCTTTGGCATGCATCAGAATTACCTGGAAGGCTCTACAGTGTACCAAAGTTTCGGATTCAGTAGGTCTGGGATGGAGCCTGAGAATTTGTATTTCTAACCAGCTTTCAGTGGGTGCAGATTCTGCTGGTCTGGGAACCACACTTTGAGAGCTACTGAGCATGAATTCAGTCCCATTCAATGAAGTCCAAGGAGACGAACAGTCTGCCCCAAGAGCATACACAGCTGCTCAAGAGCTGTTGCTTCTCAACTGTTCTTTCCACTACATCTCGCTTCTCTGGGCAAGATGGGGAGCTTCAGAGATTTTTATTTTTACCCTCATCCTAAAATGCAGCTTGACTTTAACTTGAGGGGATAAAGATCACAGTTAAAATACTCTTTAACTCCTTAGAATCATCAGATTTTGGTTGGATTATACAGTCCAGAAAGGTTATTCATTAATAACAACTAGTAACTGCTACTTGGCAATTTCCCTCTTTTTCAAGTGATCCATAAAAGCAAACTCTTAAGTAAGTCATTCAGTGAATTCAGACCAGTCGGGGCTACCTAAGTATTTCGATTTATTTATGAATATAATGGTAAGTACTGAAAACTAGTAAATAATTGTTCTAGAGGTTCCCTCGTGAATAGTGGGGGAGGGGTCAGGCAGGATTTTGCCATCACTGTGGGACCTTGTTTTCAATAACAACAGCACTCCTTTCTTCTTAAGCCAAAAGAAGTTTTATTTAATGATTAGCTAATTATGAAGGAGTAAATGTATTATCCCCATTAAAATACTAACAGGGTTTCTTCAGAGAAACATTGACGCTCATTAAAAAAAAAAAAACAACTGCATAAATGTGAATATTTTTGCCAAATTCAGCAATTTATTTGGCAAATAGGTATTGAGAGCCTGAAAGGTCCAGGGTACAGTGCGAGGCACAGTACAGATGATTGAAGGCCATCGAGAAGTTTCCTAACTGGAAGGAGGAGAGGTATTAGTACAACCTACCTTGACACAAACCAGTTAGTGCAAAGCATTACGAGACACCGATGAGAGAGCCATTGATTGTGCCTGGTGGCCCCTGAGGGAGGCTTCCCAGAGAGGGAACAACTGAGAGTGTTCTCTGTACCCTGCAGATTGTGTTGCTAAAAAATGGTAGCTGACTAAATGAGAGCCACAATCACAAGGAAAAAAACAAGCCCTTTCTTTGCAATACTACATGGTTTATTTATGCATATGTAACTTTCTCCTCCAGTAAGAACAACACATGAATTGACTGGTAAAAAAAAAAATAAATCAGCAAAATGTTTACATTTACTTTTTGGGCATTCTCGAAATATTGATCGGGATTGAGTAATTGAATGGGTCTAACTGCTCAATTGATGGACATGAGGGCAATGGTAGGGCAGGACTTGAGCAGTACTGAAAAGCTGTAGCCACAGAAAGAGCCCATTAAAGCTAATATTGTCTCATTTAATTATCTTTGCTAATAGAGAAAACAAAATGTGACCGTATTTCCGTCTAAGGTCTCCTTGGCGATAGCATAACTGGGTCCAAGAGCACCAGGCACTATGCAAGGAACTACCCTTTCTACTGAGTGCTGGAAAGATTACACAGATGAAATAGAATGATTTTTGAAGAAAACACTGTTTATAAAGCTGTTATATTACATGGGTTGATCATTGTCCTTTTTTTTTTTAAGGAGGACATTTTGGTAAAATTCCAAGCAAATATGGTAGTTTTTAAATTTAAATTTGGGGGAGGATTTTGCTATTGTTGCTTCTGTCTTAATGAAGAATGATTTTGCTCCTCCTTAGGTCTCTCAGTTCCTTGGCTTAGATATTCTAGAATTTTACTGTGGTTACATGACTGCGAAATTCGAGCAAGAGAAAGAAATCAATGGGAAGCTATACCAACCTTTCTGAGTAAAATCCGGGATAAAGAAGGGAAAATTGAGAACACAGGTTCTCTGTCTTTTAAAGATGGAGTCTCACAGTGTGTTGCCCAGGCTGGAGTTCATTGGCTGCTCACAGGCATGATCATGGCACACTACAGTTTTGAACTCTTAGGCTCAAGGATCCTCCTGCCTCAGCCTCTCAAGTAGCTGGGAAGACAGGTGTGCCAAGCAGTTTCCTTTTCGTGTTTTAAATTTTCACTAGTATGGAACATGTTTATCCCAGGAAACTGATGCATGACCTGGTACAGAGCAGACATCTAGAAGGTGTTTCCGATAAGAAAGGAAGAATAGGGCATATAACTGCTAGGAGCAGCTTCATTATACTTTCCTAAAACAAAACTATCTGTTGATGGGCAAACATGCATCCTGGTGAATGTTTTTCTGTACTCTTTATGAGGATGCAAAAAGATTTATGGGAAACAGCTTTGAGATTGGCAGTGCAAAAGATGTAGAATGAAAAGCAAAACAAAACAACACCAATAAATTCAGGTCTTGACTTTTCAGCACAACAACTGAATGCCTTTGAACAATCAAATAAACTCTTTGGTCCTCAGGTTTTTCATCTATAAAGTGGGGATAATAGTAATAATAATAATAATAATATAGCTTCTACCTGCCACACTGGATTGTTGTGACAAACAAAAGTGGCATGTGTGAAACGGCTTTGTTTTTTTTGTTAAAATTACAGCAAAATATTAGATATTCCACATATTAATTATAATTTTAAAATGTCCTAAACAGTTAAACTTTTGTATCTGTCTATATTTTAAAAGTATAAAGTTTTAAAAATCTTGCTTTGTTAAATTTCACTTCTTCGTTTAGTGTTCTAATTTATCGAAGGGCGAATTAATCTGTTTCTTTTCTCGCTAATGAAAATTGTCTTTGATTTATTTAGTTTTCTAATTCAAGTGGTAACTGAACTCTAGAAAAAAAAATGGGGTCTTTAATTATGTTTTTTGCTTTTCTGTAACACAGAGTTTGATTGGATAGGCCTTCCTGATACAAGTAGCTATGTACTTAGTGACAAACTATAGGTGAGATAAGAACACCCCCATCTCCCACTGCAGGGTTTCAGGCTCAGAAATACAGTCCTCCTACCTCCTCCCCCATCACCATTCCTGTTATTTTAAGCTACCAGGGAAATGGGAAAGGAATTTTTTGTCTCATTCTCTTTTTGTTTATTGATACATAATATATTTGTACATATTTTTGGAGTGCATGTGGCATTTTGATACATGTGGCATTTTGATATGTGCATACAATGTGTAATGATTGGACCAGGGAGTCTCATCTCACTCTCTTTTGCATCCAAGGTGTGGTTTTCTAGAAATAATGTTTGGCACTCTCTAATGTGGTATGTTCTCATCAGGGTCTTCCTCTTGGAATGGAACCACCGAGCAAAACACACAGGACTTGGTTTAAAAAATTGCAAGGAGTAAAGAGAGGGAGAGAGCAGCCTAAGGGCAGGACCTT